CTGGTGAAGATTCAAGTCTTCGTTGTAAGATTTTGTACTTAATATTTGCAAGTTGCTTAAAATTTTGAACGAACACAGTGCGACACGCTTTGCGCAGGTATAAAAAAAAAACACTTATGACGTAATTTTCGGTCAAAAAGGAACGGACAGTAGTCTAAGGATGAAGAAAATTAGCACGGATTAGTAAGTATAACTTTGACAGATTCATTATTTTTTTGGAACCATGTATTTGTTAGGGGGAAAAATTTAAGACTTTGTTCAAAGTACCTACGGCACCACCGCCAAAAACACCCGAAGTGATTCTACTGGAGGAATTTCCTTCACGCAGAGCTGATAAGAAGTCTTTTACCACTCCGTTGGGTAGCAGTGGAGATATCACAGGGCTGTACACGAGTGGTATGGACCTTTTTGGTAATATGGATGAATGCTGCTCATCAGGTAATCACCAGAATTGAAGAAAATTGCTTTCTTAAGCGCTCTGCGATTTGTTTAGAGCTCGCGCCGCTTTTGCAACCAATCAAATGCAGGACCGAACCAATCGTGACTTGGTCTCACGAATCGTTTCACCCGGGCTTGGACATGATCATGTAATTCTTCTTAGATTCTTCACGGGCTTGTTGTTGCATTTGCATTGCTTTCAACCTCTTCGTCGATTGTGTCGAATCTGAAACTAATTTCAATGTACGAGTAGTGGCTGAATTTTAGGTGTTCTCAGTTTTCTTTAGTTATTATTTTTGCTGCATGTGTATCTTTTCATCGTTAGATGTGCAACAGGACAGTGAAAAAGAAGGTCTTTGCTTGGAGAACGACGGAAAAGAAAATTTTACAGGCAAAAATGAGGTACTGACTGAGCTAATAGTTTGGCTATACGCACTTTCACCAAAGTGTTAAATAACAAGTTACCTTTTTTTCTTATAAACAGAAATATAGCAGTAAGGCTTCGCAAGAAAACAGGCCGAAAGATACGAATGAGTGTTCAAAAATGGGAGTCAGGTATTTGGTATTTGAATTTATCAATTCCATCCAGTAGTTGAGCTAACGAGACATATACAGGTGTTTTGATAAGCTTTTTTCCATGGGGCATTAGGCGGCTGTACCCGGGAGAGGTCCGTAAGTCGAAACCTAAACACGAGTTTGCTCGTATGCTAAACGGACGGCGGTGAGAGGAGTAATGGGCAGCGGTAGACCGCTGTAAATCAGCTCTTTATGAAACTTACCCCTGCATACGAGATATGCCATGATGCTGATTCGTATAGCTACCGGAACTTCCTCCCCTCGGATGAGATGCTAGTCTATACTGGGTTACCCGTGGTCTCCGTGAGGGTTTGCAGTTAGCATAGGTAACAACATGATTTTGAGTGCAATTTGGTGTAAATAAAGACGAAAAAATTGTACGAGACCGTAGGGCGAGTGCAATTTGTGCAAATTTTACAAGTGTTTATTACACCAAATTGCTCGAGAATTCATTTTATGAGTTTTTAATAATGCACATGAAAGATCATCGCAGAAAGTCAAGACCGACGAAATTTTGAAAGCGTGCGCGCACTATTTGTAATTTGCACCCGTGTTACAACTTTGTAATCGTATTACAAATTTGCACGCGTGTTACATGAGAATGCACTCGTTTTCAACCAATCAGAAGCGCCTTACTTTTTCATGTACATTATTACGGAATTTACAGGTAGGCGGGAAAAAGCCCTCTGAGTGTTAGCCTACGTGTAGCCGCACCCTTCCTCCCCAAAGGTGAAACAGAGGCGCCTACATTTTACCTTTGGGGGAAGGGTGCGGCTACACGTAGGCCCTCTGAGGGTAAGTTGTGTACAAGTGACGAAATGATCCTCGAGGGTGAGCTGCAACTGATAAACTGCGGAAAAAGTGGCTTTAACCCTTTATATAAAGGGTTAAATATTTCATATTCTCCATACCCCTCTCTATATGTTTCTACCGATACTGACAAGGAGAATTGATATGAAGATCAAAACCTCCAAGGCAGCGATCATTTCCTTTATTCTCATAATTTTAATGAATGGTTGAGCAGTATTACTGTGAGGAGAACTTAGATGCCGGTTACTCTTAGGGTTTAGCCCTTTAACTCCCATGAGTGACCAAGATAGAATTTCTCCTTACAATATCAAACAGATAAGTGATGAGAATAGAGAAAAATATCAATTTGGGAGTGATTAATTGATCCAATACTAAATTCTCTGAACTAACATTACATGAATTGCATGGTTGATAGTAAGGAGAATTTCAAATTTGATCTGGTAGATAAAGGGTTAAAGGGTCAAGAGATTTAGGCCTCGACGAGATTCGAGCCCATGACTTCTAGGTACTAGTTCATTTGAGCAGCAAGGCCACATTTTGAAAGTGAGGCAAATTTTTGAGAATTCTTTGCTCCCATAAAGGAATGCTCCTCTTGAATTTGTCTTTCTTCCGACATATGGCTTTTTAGCTCAGTTAAAAATATTGTATTAAACGCGTACATCAATATTATTATTGCTAACGCTGGTGAATCATTCCCTCCTAAATTTGACTAGGAATAATGACGCTGAACCAAATTATAAATACGTAGAAGTTGTCCGGAAGAAAGATGAAAGAGCCAAGCTAAACGGCTATAAATGTCGTGACTGCCAAGAGGTAACATGCCAGATTACTTAGACAGAAAAAAATAGTCCACTGAGTGAAAAAGTGAACTAAGACATTCCATGCTGGAATTTGGCCCAAAAGGCACTAAGTACAGGAAAACTTAGGCACGAAGAATACAGGAATTTTAAAGGCTTTTGAAGCGAACAAAACATACTAAAGAAGCAAGGCAGATCTTTTCATCGGTTTTTTTTTGTGGAAGTAATTTCTTCCTTGTATAGGGGGAATATGCATCATCAAGAACCTGTAGATTACTAAATAAGTTTAAAGTTAATAGTGTTTTAAATGGTATTAAAAAATGGTATTTAAATGGTTTAAAAGGAAGACCTTATTCCTGTTTTCTCGTCACCATATTCCTACCAATAACGTAGCTCCACTTTCTGCATATAAACCCACACACAACTCACAATTCCTCCAATCGCTCTGACGAAGGGCTAACCCTCAAAATGTCAGGTTTTTTACCCTTTACGGTGGCCAATTTACGTTTTCAACTCAATTGTTAACACTAAATTACCTGCTATACTCTCCCACCGACGCAGCACCACAGTTTCTTTAGAAACTTACCACCTTTAGACCTAATCGCTGACGAGAGGTCATGAAAGAATGTCTGTTTTGGTTTAAGCCTTATAAAAGTTGGAACATGTGACCTGTTTTTCTCTCATTTTTGTTTAGTTTGAGAGCAATAGATAAAAATCAATTCAGCCGTTGGCGAAATTTATTCCCTTGTTTTTGTCCTTTTTTTAGGATTTGTATTGTATTGGCTAATATGATGTTCTTCACGATGGGCGACTTTTTTTCAGTCTGTGCGTCAAAGTTTCGGTGTTACGTAACGAGTCAGTTAGAGTTGAGAAATGTTAAGCCGATTGTTGACAGTGGTCTCTCGAGTTCTCTTTTACATATTTAGATTATTTCATCTGTTTTGCAAATGTGATAAATTAGGTTTGCTATTGTGATTGCCAATCGAAATGCGCTCAAAGACAGATATCCCTTTTCTTTTCAGTACTACCAGGGCCTTGATCTTCCCGAAGATGAGCTGAAAAAACGTTTGAAGCACTGTTCTCGTCACCGAGCGAAGTTTTCACCACCACCGTCCACTCCGCCAGGCTTTTGGAATTTAAGCTTTCCGGATACCCAAGAGTATATGGCTAAGGGCTATTTAAAGACTGAGTCGGAAGCACCGGCTCCGAAGAGACTTCGGAAAACACGACGGAATAGGATCGCAAAGTGAAGTGTCTTTTCGAAGATTAACGATGAATTGCGAAGTTGACATGAAGATGTCACGATCGCTGATTGCTCGGGTTATCCGTGTGGTAACGAAGAAAACCGATTGGTGGAAGATGATACGAGGCATAATACAAATATAGAACTGTATTGTGAACAAGCCTCATGCATTTATACTAGAATGTACTGCTTGTCAATTTTTTTTCTTAAGTGTGTACATGTCGAGAAATATTACGAGGAGCCAATGGGAACTCACTACAAGAAAACATGCCTGCCGCGCGGAAAAATGCGATTGAGCAAGTCGTCATTGGTTTAAGTTTTGAATCCATTTGCTTTTTAAAGTGGCGCGAGTTTCCTAGACCAATCTCCTATTCAGAGCAATCTCGGATAAATTTCAACACTTTTCTCTAGAGTGTATTTCGATCGAGCGTCATAAAACCGAAGTCAACGTAATCACAACGACCTATCTGACGAAAAAAATATCGCTTAGGGCAAATGGGAACCCAAATAGCAGAAGATTGTCCCCTCAGTTCAAAAAAGTCTGCTATGAGAAATAATAATGACTGTTTATGAAAATCCTTCCGTAAATCAAGATGTAATTTACTGATCCACGAGTGTAATTTCAGAAATTCCAACATGCGTTCTAAAACCATCCTGATTTGAACTAAATTATTTTGAATCAAATGCTTCCCAATCACCTTTCTCGTTCCACTCCCTGTCTTGCAAGAGACGACGGAGAAAATTCCTTGGGGACCTGAATCCAAATGGATTTGCATTTTCAGCGCCATTTTTGAAGCGAACAGGATCAACACGAATAGCTCACTTGCCCTTGCAGTTCATTCCTGCATTTAGCAGAAGGGCGATTTAAAGAAGCGTTAATTGTCCTTCCTTGCCCATATGACAGTGATTGCGTTTGTCCTTGAGAACTATATTGAATACGCGACAAATACGAGCAAAAAATATTTTTACACATTCAAAATAAATCGATTAACATTTACCTATGGCGAAAGAAAAAAGAATTGGCCTAACTTTTATGGAATGTGCGGCTAACATCCGCCAATTTCCGCTGCTTTAACCGAAAATGAAATATTCGAAATTCATTGAAAATGAAGCTACCACAATGCAACGCAATCGGAGTGCGCACATCTTTTTTAAGAGCGATTTTGCCGCAATTCAGCATTGAGTTCCTGCTCTCTTGGAAAGGCCTTTGGATAGTTCAAGGCATTGTTTGTACATGCAAGTGTTTTCCAGTGTTGGATAGCGGTTTTGTACATGTCTAAGGTGAGTGAATGAGGCGAAGATCGACTTTGCAGTCTTGGGAACGTGCAGACTGACTGCACTTCAACAGGAAGTCTAGTTGGTCTTTTCGCTTATGACTGCGTTTCTCGTTTTGGTCACGAAACATCTTGCTCGGGAATTCGAAAGTTCAGAGAGCTCATCTCTCGTAATCTTTCAAAGAACGTCTAATCAAACATTTCAAAGTTGTGGATAAGGGCTTTGATCAACTTTTATAGGTATTTGTTTTCGATCACAGCTGTACCTAGTTATAAACATAAATAAACATCTACGTACTAGTCGCCGGTTCGATGCGGTTGTAGTATTTTGGAATGTTTCTTAAGCTTTTCGCGGTATTCATGACCAGGAGACAGTTTAATTTGCGAAAGGAAGCAAGATTGCTGGGAACATATTCCAACGTAATCGACGAAAAAAGTTCATTTGCAGCCATTTATAGTAACATAAACAACGGAGCTATTTTCTCGTCCATACATGTATCATGTATGAGCATCATGTCTTAGCGCAACATAGAGCCAGGGGTGTTGTAATTAATTATGAGCAATCATAGCATGATTGTTTAACCTCTTATACCCTAACATCAGTCAGCATATTCTCCATTCTGTTCTTCATACATTTCTTGAGGTCGTGACGAGGAGAATTTCTCGAGCAATCAAGAGTTTCTTTAGCTGGCGATCATTTCCTCCATTCTCATGAACTTACTGTTTTATTTGGGGGTGATACTGTAAGGAGAATCTAGACGCTAGTCACTCTTAGAGGTTACAACATGATTCTGCCTTTCTTCTTTTAATACCATGAAAGGTTTTAGGAATAAACTTTTTGATTCAAACAACAGGTGCTGGAAGAGCAATTTTATAGATAAAATTTAGAAGATCTCATACAATGTGAAGAGGGGCATATCATTCCTATGAGTTTTAAAGGATTTTTATGAAAGTATCAATGGACTTAACATATGACTCGCTGCTTTGGAATTTATTTTCCATTGTCCTACTTTCAAACTATGGTCAGTCCAATAAGGAGTCTTAAAGCAATATAAGGGGATTTTAGTCTTTTTGTGTAGGAGGAGAGAGTAATATCTTGGATATGAATTCAAACTATATCGACAGAAACAGAAGTTTTCTGGTATGATTTTAGTTTTTGATGAGTTATGTGCTTTTGGTTCATTTTTGAGTTGTCTGATTGTCAAGCTGTTAATAAGTGTTTCTAGAAGAAAGGGTGTATTATGGTGCAAAATTCTTTCATGCAAGGCTGACTGAAATATTTCTAAACAGGAAACTCTTTCTTCTTTGTAATGTTTAATTTACAGTCTTTTGTTTTTGATATTCCTAAGACATAGACTAGTATAGTTATTTTGAGATGTCTTGATATTGGTGTTGTGTTAACATTTTGTAGCCTCCTTTTGTGTGATGTATGATATTTGTAACAAGTTCGTGTCTTACTGTTTATTATTTCATTGCAGGATACTCATGGTATTAAGCATCAAAAAATTTCTGTAAAACCGCTGTGTGTGCATTAGCGTTATCAATTATGCCGATTCAAAAACCTCAAGGAACAGAATTTCTTCAGTGTCCAATATGTTACAAGGAATTTGACAATCATGATCGGCAGCCAATCAGCTTGGGATGTGGACACACATTTTGTGTTTCCTGCTTGTCAAAACTGTCTAAAACACAGTGCCCTACTGATCAGGCTCCTGTAGAGACAGATATATCCAAACTTCCATACAACTTTGCTTTGCTTCAATTAGTTGGAGAAGAAATGCCAGACAATAGGCTTCCCCCAATTGACAGTCTTAGAGAATATGCCACTTATTATTTAAATTCAAAAGGCTGTATTGAAAAGCTTGCCCTGTTCTTGAAACCTGTCAGTGGCTCTGGTAATGGTACAGTGAATGGAAAAGTCAATGGCAGCACCCGTAATGGTTCTGTCAACAGCAATGGGAATAACGTCCTTACGAGACCCATGCAGAGGAAGCTTGTGACATTAGTTAACTGTCAATTGGCTGAGGGTGAAGGAAGATCTAGAGCCATGCGTGCAGCCAGAAGCTTGGGAGAAAGGACAGTTACAGAGCTCATTTTATTGCATCAACAAGTCTCAGCTAATATATGGGCTGCTGTACGGAATCGTGGTTGTCAGTTTTTAGGACCAGCTATGCAGGAAGAAGCTTTGAAACTGATTTTGTTGGCTCTTGAGGGTGGTGAGGCTTTGTCTAGAAAGGTTTTGGTTCTTTTTGTGGTCCAGAAGCTGGAATCTGTGTTTCCACAGGCTTCCAAAACAAGTATTGGCCATGTAGTGCAGTTGCTTTACAGAGCATCCTGTTTTAAGGTGAGTTTATGCTTTATGCTCCATTAAGGTGGTTTTCAGTGGATGTCTGTTAAATTGTCACTAAAAAGTGCTCTGAGATTTTTGTTATGTAGGAAATTGAGTATGCTTGTAATATATATTGAATGTAATTAAGAGGTCTCTGTGTATTTAAAAGTATTGAACTGCAAATGTTGACTCAATTTTTTCATTCAGGTCGAGGAAAAGAACAATGAGCCATCTCTAATGCAGCTCAAAGAACAGGTACTGTTTCTTTGAAAAATTTAATAAGTGTTTTCAGATGTAACTGCCATTAAATTCACATGTTGGTTATTTTTTTCCATTGAATAAACAGTGGTTAATAATTGTGTTGGTTGTGCTTTTTAGACTTAAAAACATTATATCATTCTTTTTTTTTTCTTTTTTTTTTGCTATCAGTACCGTACTTATGATGCACTGCGGAAAGTACATGATGCACAGATAGTGCAAATTGCAACAGAGGCAGGGCTGCGCATTCTCCCAGACAAGTGGTCCTCACTGCTCTACGGTGACATGGATCACAAGTCTCACATGCAATCTATCATTGACAAGGTGTGTTGTTAGTTATGGCTTCAGCTTTAATGAAGTAAAACTGTACATTTAATACAATGGATCTAAGCTAGTTTGAAATTTTTGATATCACTATTCAAGATTTAAAGCAGCAGGGCTATTATTGTATTTCTATCATGGGAAGACCTGTGAATTTTTTAATGGAGTGTTATGGTTTGCATCACAAGTTTATCCCAAAAAATGGTAGCATTACAGTTAAAACTAATTTCTTTTATTTTGTTTTCAGCTCCAAACCCCTGCCTCATTCTCCCAGAGCATCCAAGAGCTGATCATTGCCCTACAGAGATCTGGCGATCCTGGGAATCTCTGTCAAATGAGAGATCAGTTTGAATTACTGTCCCACATTGATGCATCTCCAGGTTTGTGTGGCAGTCTTTTTTGCAAGAATGGCAAGTTGTTGCTTACAGAAGCACACAAATTTTCATTGACTGAAGCTTGAATAAGTTCTTGACATTAGTGGCCTGTTTTCACCAAGTTGTTCACTATAGCTTTGGGATCATATACATGTAGACACCCCAGTTGCACAGTTAATTACAGGTACATGTACTTCAAGGTCAAAAACAATTGCATTACCAGTTGAGATAACATGTGTCTTTGATTTTTTTTCCTGCAGAGGCATCATGTCCAGCTTGGGATGAGCTAGAACAAGCCATGGTTTCTGTACATTCTGTGGTCCATGGATTTGTTAATTTTTCAAAAGTGAGTGGTGGTGTTTTTGTTTTTCAAAATAAAATCCACTGATTTCTTGATTTGAGTCTATTTTGATTACATGGAAACTACACGAGAGCTCTTTTGGCAGATGCAGGATGATCACTGTGATCAATGTTGCTTTTGGTTCTATTCTTTCATATTCAAAAGGTTAATTTGAAACATCTGCAGGCTCATTGATATAAAAGAGCAGATTAAAAAAAAGAAAAAAAAACTAGATGCATGCAGAAGCATCAAGAGCAGCTGTTGAACATTTAAGGGTCTCCTTTGTTTAACAGACAAGTCTTGCATTTCCAAAAGTTTATCATAACCATTGGTAACAGTTTAGTAATTTTAAAAGTACTGAGTAGTCTAAAGGATGGATTATGTTTTTCCTTTATTTTGATGATATCAGTCACATGGCAGAGGAATGAAAGGATCTGGTGATCCACCACAAGTAAGTACAATTTGAAGTTGTTGTTGTTGTTGTTGTTGTTGTTGTTGTTGTTGTTGTAAATTTCTTTAATTTCCAGTGATCTTGATTTAGTCTAGCTAACTGTAGTCTTATTTGTGCGTCAGTTCAGGCAGGTGTACAGGTAAACTTGGTCTAGATTGTCCTTAAGAGTCAAGTAATAAGCCTATTATTTACATTGGTTCTTTTCGGGACAGTAGCAATTTTTTTCCTTTTCTTTTTTAGTCACACAACAACAAGTTCAAAACCAGTATGTGCAGGGATCACACTTGGGGGGGATGTCCAAGAGGTCCCCACTGTACATTTGCTCACTCAAAGGAGGAGCTAGAGAAGTGGGTGTTGATCTGATTCTTTGCTTTAAAGTTTGCAAATTAATGTTTTTCATGCTAAGCTATTCTCAGGTCCAAATACTAATGTGTGTTTTTTTTGTTGCATTATCCTAAAGTCTAATTTCCAAATCCTACAATAAATATTTGGACATGAATCACAAATGACCTCTTACTAACTAGTATTATCAGCCATGTCCCAAATTCAAGTTTCCTTCTATGATCATGGGCTGTTTATTATGTCTTGGAAAAATGATAATAAATACTGATCTAAACATGATTTTTTTCAACGACCAGGGTTTGAGCATTAATCCTTGTTCTTCATTAACGCGCATCACTTTTAATCGCAGGTTTGGTAAAAGAAGAGCTCAGAGGCCTCGGCCCTCACCCATTGGTAGAGGACCAGTACCATCTGTGGCACCAGATCAGTTTTCACCCCTTGAAAATGGTTGTGATGGCAGTCCAACAGCTACCCAGGCTCCTACAAATTGTGTCAACGGCTCTGCAAGATCATCTCCTCTTTAAATTTCTCCTGGTAAGGAGAGATGAAAATTTTTGTTCATCGGTTTTTTTGGTGAGGAAGTAATTGCTTCCGCGTATAGGGGGAATATGCATCTTCAAGAAACTGTAGATTACTAAATAAATTCGAAGTTAATAGTGTTTCAAATGATATTTCTTTTGACGGTAAAGATCTTCCTAAGGAGACCTAATCGCTGACGAGATGTCCTGAGAGAATGGCTGTTTTGGCTTAAG